GCCCAAGTCCCAGAAAAATGTACCCGCTTCAATGCCATTTATCAGCTTCTTCACTTCTTGGTCGACAGAGACTTTCTTAGTCCCCAGACGATTGAGTACCAAGTGCCATCTCTCAAATACAGCCTGCTGTTTTTGCCTACAAGGAAAGGTGCATCTATGATGGGGATCTACTTAGACAATCTGGAATCCTGGGATCTCTTTGATAACTATACATCTATCACTGGAATGGACCTAGGCCTTAAACAAAAACTATTCCAGCACTATCTTTTACTGGATACTAAGTATCCAGTCCTGGCAATATTAGCTATTTTTCTAAGCATTTCTTTTTATTTACGCTCAGTCTTTATTACCGTAATGGTCCTGCTCGCTGTTGTCAGCTCTTTAATGATCTCCTACTTCTTGTACAAGGTGGCCTTCAGATTCACCTATTTCCCTTTTGTAAACCTGACAGCAGTCGTCATTCTCAGCAGCATTTGTGCCAACCACACCTTTGTCTTCTTTGACCTCTGGAACATCAGCAAGAACCAGAACCCTTCCGCTGGGCTTTCTCAGTGGGTGAGTCAAACCATGCACCATTTTGCATATCTCATGCTGGCATCTTGCTTCACAACAGGTGCTGCTTTCTATGCCAGCTACATTAGCAATATAATAGCTATCCGGTGCTTTGCTATTTACATGGGCACCTCTGTGCTGGTGAATCTGGTATTCATGATGACTTGGCTTCCTTCTTCGGCTGTGCTGTATGAGCGCTACATAGCAACAACCTGCATTTACAAGCCAGAAGACTACTGGAACAACACTGGCCATAAAAGAGTCGCTCTCTCCCTCCATTACATTCTCAGGGGTCTCCAGAACACACTGTCTGAAACCTCCAAGCTACTATTTGAAAAGCTTCTGCCTTGTGGGGTCATCAAGTTTCGGTACATCTGGATCTGCTGGTTTGCTGCCTTAGCGATAGGAGGTGCCTACATTTCCTGTTCCAACCCAAAACTCAAACTCCCAACTCTTGAGACGTCATCTGTCCAGGTGTTTAGACTGAGCCACCCCTTTGAGAGGTACGATTCTGAGTACTGCCACCAGTTCATGTTTGAGAGGCTGGAGCATGGAGAAGGGCAGCGTATGCCTGTCACGATAGTCTGGGGCATTCTGCCTGTGGATAATGGGGACCATTTCAATCCAAAAAGCAACGGCACCCTAGTGACAGACGTCACCTTCACAATCCAAAACCCTGATGCCCAGAAGTGGCTCCTCGAATTCTGCCAAAAAGTGAAGAACAAAACTTTCTATTATCGTGACACAGAGCAGAAATCTACCGTGTGCTTCATGGAGGAGTTCCTCAGGTGGATGGACAGTCGCCAGTGCTCCCAGCGAGACCACAGCTTCAACCTTTGCTGTAACCAGTTCTCCTTCCCTTATGGAAGTGAAGTCTTCCTACACTGCATCAAAATGATGCTCCTGGAGCAAGGCAGGGAAGGGGCAGAAACGTACGATCTGGGCCTCAGGTTTGATGGGGAGGGAAATCTCGCTGCCTTAGTGCTGCAGTTTCAAACTATTTATCACTATAGCTTCAACTACAGCAAAGCCAAACAATTCTATGAGGAAATCAACCTCTGGGTAACAGAGGAAATGAAAACTGCCCCTGTGGGGCTTCAGAATGGATGGTTTACCAGTAAACTAGAGCTGTACAACCTCCAGCACAGTCTCAGCACAGAAATGATGGTGGTCATGGGGCTCTCCATAGCCATTTCCTTCGTGGTGCTGCTGCTCACTACCTGGAACGTTCTCCTTAGTGTTTTCTCTGTTACTGCCATTGCGGGCACTGTCCTGGTGACTGTTGGCCTTTTGGTCCTCTTGGAGTGGCAGCTCAATGCAGTGGAGTCTCTCTTCATTTCAGCTGCAGTAGGTCTCTCTGTTGACTTTACCGTCAACTACTGCATCTCCTATCACCTGTGCCCCCATTCTGACCGCCTGAGCCGAGTGGCCTTTTCCCTGAAGCAGATGAGCTGTGCCACGGCCATGGCAGCTTCTGCTCTCTTCTCTGCAGGTGTCATTATGTTGCCTGCGACGGTCCTGGCGTATAGGAAGTTGGGGATATTCATCATGATGATCAAGTGTATCAGCTGTGGGTTTGCCAGCTTCTTCTTCCAGTCACTGTGCTGCTTCTTCGGCCCAGAGAAGAACTGTGGGCAGATCCTTTGGCCTTGTGCCCACACCATGAAAGACTATTCTGATGACTCGGGGCTGAATGGAAGCTTTGCCTGTGGGGGGAGTGAGAAGCAAAGCCGGTTGCGGAAGGTCCAGGAGTCCAATACTGCAAACGAGCAATACGAGCTCCAGCCCTTGTCCAGAAAACTCAGTGACAGTTTTGACAACAGCACTTCCACAAGCAAGCTGTCCAACCGGCCGTCAGTGCTCTCTGAAGACACCCAAGTTGAAGACAACAGATGCCCCAGAATAGGAATCCACCCCTCCCTTGAAAGAGAGAGACAAAATCTGCAGGAGACCCTTGGAGACCAGCAGGTTGGCCTGTGCCAGTGTCCTGCCTTGCAAACTTCCTCTCCTTACAAGCACAGCAACTCAGAAGCAGAAATTCACAGGGAGAGACTCTGCCGAGATTGTCGATGTCGAAAGTATGGTCTGAAAGCTTGGGATGGGTCTGGGCTGGACCATATCCAGCCGGCTGGCATGAAAGAAGAAGGACAGCTCAATAAATCACAGTGCTCTAGTGACACCGCCCAGCAGCACTCGGATTATACCTCAGACAACAGCCATCTCCCTGCTGCTGATGTCTACAAAATTCACAGATGCCTTTGTTCTCTTGGCAGCTCTTTTGACATGCTCAACATCTCCAGTGAGACGTCGATTAGCGATTTTGAGCAAGGCCTAAAGCTTGCTGAATCAGCCAGTTCTTGTCCCGATGTCTTAGAGCTGTCTGATTCGTACAGTCAAACAGAGAGAGGTTACTTGAATGGGAAGAGAGATACCCTGCGGCTGGACCTGAGGGAGACTGTCTTTGATATCTCTCCAGCAGCATCGCAGCAGAACAGCTCTTCATGGAAAAATCGATTTGGATTAGGGAGCGACGGTCCAGTTGTGTTACCGAACAGCCAACCAGACATGCCTGATGTTTGGATCAAACGATCTAGCGCACAAAGTTCTGGTTACAACAGTTGAAACCTTGCAGAAAACAAAACTGTACTGCTAGGGAAAGGGGAAGTCGAAATCTCCTTGGAACTGTAAATATCAGTCTTTTCCTCCCACCTCTCCTAGAGCTGAGACTATTTCTTAGTGTTTCAGCTGTGCAAATACCTGTGGTTTCACAGAACCAGCAAATCTGATACTAGTGAGAGGATGTGAGATCAGTCTTGATGGAGTACAAGCCCTTTGACCTTCCAGTGTCTGGTGCCATATTCACAGCTGTACTGCAAAACTCACCAAGTAAACCTGTTTTGTCATTTCCTACAAGGTGATTAGATTTTGGTTTGTTGTCAAGGTCACATAGGAGAGAAATACGAAGATGAATCTCCCCAGATATTTAACAACAGAGAAAGAGAGCTCATGAAAAAAAAAAAAAATCCAAAACCCAAACCCGCAACTGAAAATCTAGATATCAAGTGAAAAGGGTATTGTTAATAAAAAAAGAAAGTCTTTCATTTTCTACTGAATCAGAAACTGCTTTATGTGAAGTCCAGGTTCACTGATCCCATCAAAATAGTTCAAATATTATAAAAAAAATTTCATCGGCACTTCTGAGTTGATACAGTCTCTTACCGATCATGGAGCAGGCTGCAGAATCCAGCCTAAATCTATTTTCAGTAACAATTTCAGTTTGTTTTATCAGAAGAAATTCTAGTACTGCCAAAGATTTTCAGTGTGAGATCTCCCCTTTGAGAAAAGTGTCCTCGTCCCCTCAGTGACTCGGGTGCTTTGTGTGTTGTCTTCATAGCTTGTTTCCACTCAAGGCATTCCCCACAAACATGTAACTTTTAAAAATTTGCGTATCTGGTGAATCTTGAATTTTACCTTTTTTTTTCTCTACGAGAAATAAACAGGAAAAGAAACACTTCCTTGCCTTTATCTGTTGAAAAAACCATTCTCTATACAAGTTGACGTAAAATAAATGCTTATGACAAACTTTCCTAAATCTGAGTGATGCTTAATTTTCACCAAGAACAATGTGGTTCATTTTCTTCAAGCACCTAATATATTTTCCAATACAACCAGCAACAGGAAAGCATACATCTTAAAAAGATTTGCTCTTTCTGACACCCACGAGTAGTTTTCCCTGGTCTGTGGGAGACAGGCCCCGACTGCCTTATGTCCATTAGGAATATGCTCTTTTAAAGCTACTAACAACACTTGAAATACATGACGTTATTTCAGTTTTGTATTTTCATAGTGCAGTTCTCATACTGGGTGTTCAGGTGGGTTTTTTGGCGACCAGAGCTGCCCTCAGGTTGCGAGCCAACACTTGACTGAAACCCTCTCCACACGGGAGCTGCTTCCATTGCTATTTGGAGGGACTTCTCACCCATTTTGAAAACTGCGTTGGAAAAACAGTGCGAAAACATCCAATAAAGTCTGGAAACATTTTACACAGGTGCCTCCTTTCCCCTTACGGGGTGGGAGGACACTTTTAACCGCCTCAAACGAAGCACCGGCGCCCTGAGAGCACAGCCGGGGAGGACTCCACGAAGGCCGCAGAGGCCTTTGAGGGCTCCGGACCTCGAGTGCCCGAATCACAGGGCGAGGCCGCGGGAGGCGGGGAACACCCTCCCCGCCGGCGGCCGCCTCCCCTGAAAGCAGCTGCGAGGTGAAGCGCCGTCAAACCCGCCCGGGGAGCCCGCCATGGCCGCGGCTCCTTCTCTGAGGGGAGGAGCGCGCACAACCGCCCGCGGGGCGGGCCCGGCGCGCAGGCGGAGAGGCGCTCCTGCGCATGCGCGCGGGCCGCCCGACCGTTTGGCGGCCCGTTCGATTCAAACGGCGGCTGAGGGGGGGAGCGGGGCCGCCATGGAGGGGGAGTCCTCCCGCATCCCCGTCTACAGCGGGCTTCACCGCGCCGGGCCGCCCGCAGGTGCGTGTCCTCTCCAGGAGGGAAGGAGGGTTCTGCTCTGTCCTGCTCCGCCGGTGGGGCGCCGAGGTGGCGGAGGGCTGGTGTCCGGGTTAGGCCGATGCGGGGGCGGGGGGAGCGGTGTCTGTTAGGGAGCTCCGGCACTGCCTTGGTCTCAGGTGGCCGTCGCGAAGTCTAATTGCCGGCTTTATTCGACTGCTTTGTCTCTACGGCTTCGGTTAACTCTCTTTTTCTGCCCTCTGAGGAGGGCGGGCGGTTGCTGTTTGCCTCACGGCTCAGCCCGCCCGGGCAGTGCTGGGCCTCAGGAGAGCGCGTCTCCCGCTCACTGCACGCAGCGGCCCACGCAGGTTACAGATACTTTCCTTCGGGGGCTCTTGCTTCTATAAGGCTTTTGATACTGCTTACAGCGTTTTAGGAACGTGAGGCAGCCAGGCTTAATGTTAAAAACTTGGGAGCTAGTCTGCATCGGGGGAAACTGCCATGTTATTCTAGTGCTTATGGGTATGTCACCTGAAAAATACCTTGGGTGGGGGAAGCTTCTTAAACCCACTATGTGAACAAAGCTTTATATACTCAAACAGCTGTGGCTTAAGGCCAAATAAGCTCTACATAGAAACCTACTTATCTATAGTGTTATTTTAGGAGTGTACCTACTCATAGTGAATTGAAGTATGAAGCTCTCTTAGCTGAGAGCTTCAAGTGGGCTGTGTCTGTTTTGCTTCCAGTACTGAACAACTTTGCTTGGAGCCCTGTGGCATACTGTCTGCTTGATCTTGGGACCTCCCTTATTCTCATGCCTCTATTATCACTTTCAAACTTTGTCTCATTAGTGCTAGCCTAGTAACTGTGTTTTAACACTGTCTACCATCTGAGCTATCTGTGGCTTGTTCTGGACCCTTAATCCTGGGTTAAACTTGAAGACTGCCCTTAGTTGTCACTGCCTTCAAGTCTCCATTCTAGCCACATATAATTGTGATTTAGCTCAAATTGAAGATGTAAGAAATCCAGTAGTTCTGCATATTATGGTGGTTTCATGTAGACTGTAGTGTTTTCATTGTTGTCTTTTTCTTGCAGAAATGCAAATGGCTTTTCCTTCAAAGAAACAGTGCGTCAGCAAAACAGCAGATCTAGAGTTCAACAAAGATCCCAATTTTAACTTTAGCTCAAACATTCCTGCAGATGGTGTCTTCAAAGCTACAAACCAAGGGTAAATGAAAGTAAAATATTGATGGCTTTACTACTTGGCAAACATCCTAAAGACGGCTTAGCATTCTGGAAATTTTATTGGACCAACAGACTTGGTAATCTGAAAGAATTCAGTGGTCTTCTGGTAACTGTATTTTACCCATCTTTTAAGGTTGCCTAAATCTGCCAAGAAAGTGGAACCGCTTTCAAAGAAGACAGCTACAAGAGGGTATGTTTCCTGAAATTTCTGTTAGTTGCCCTCATGCAGTAATGATACCTCTTGGAGGGTTATGATGAGCTCTCACCCGTGTACAACTTTCTTGCCAAGTTTGCTGATTAAAGCTCTTGGTCAGAAACAAGAGCAAATGCTTCAAAAAGGGGCATGTTTGTGGAAGTAAAAGAGAAGGTGTATAATACTGATATTTTTGCCCCTAAATCTTTGATGTTTGACTCTACAGACCTCTCAACAGATACAAACTAGAATCAGAGCTGAAGACCAAGAATCAGCTGTTAGAAACAGCCAAACAACAGCTATATTCCAGACTAACAGGAGCACAGGTAAGGAAAGGGGTGGGGGGGAAATAAATAAATCATTGAGTAGTTCCTATATTCTGATCCTTACTGGGTCAGATCAAAGGATTGTCTTGCTCATTTTCCTGTCTCCATTGGAAGTCAGTAGAGTTTGGGTGGGCTGGGTTTTTCTCCTCTGATACCTGTGATATCTGCTAGAACCTGTTAATCAGCAGAGCTGCAGATGTATTTGGATGGATAATGCATCCAGATCACTGTTAAATAGTTATCAGAGCTCTAACTCCATTTTAAACTCATTGTGGGAGAATATTTCAAGTTCACAGCTATACACTTGCATGAAATTTTATTAAAACAGCCTTGATATTGCCAGATGCTTCCTACCTACATCAAGAGAAACTATAAGTAATCACTTGCCATTGATGGTTTGAGGTCTATTAATTCTTTTTCTTCTGTAGCTCCTAACATATGGTAGATAAGCTACTCAATTTCCTTATTCCTTTTGCCCAGTCTCTCCTAGCTTTGTTAACCCATCACGTAGTGTGGTGTGAAAGTGCATACAGTATTGAAGATGTAGGTTCGGGAATGTGTATGGTCTCATTTCAGTAACAAAGAACATTCTACTTGGATTTTGGTCACTGCTGTGCACTAAGTTTGAGGGATCCTGACCTCATTTTCTTCTGAGTATTTAATGCAAAGCTCAGTTTATATAAGCTTATGTTTCTTCATGTGCTCTTGTATCATATTGTTGCCTAATCTTTTAGTGTCTTTGTATTCTTCTGCAAGTTTTTTCCTGTCTGCTCAGCACTGGTGAGGCCAAACCTGGAGTATTGGTCCAGTTCTGGGCTCCTGGTAGAAGAGAGACATGGACATACTGGAGAGACTACAGCAAAGGGCCACTAAGATGATTAAGGGACTGGAGGAAAGGCTGAAGAAAGCTGGAACTCTTCAGTGGATTCTGTTTCAAACAGATTTGACTTTCTTGAATCAAGTTCAGATTCAGAATAGGCACTTTGTTATTCACAGCCTCTTACAGATCACTCTAGGACACACTTGGCACAATTTCTGTCATGTGCAAGAGGCCCTGCTGGTAACCTTCAGTTGTAAAAGCTCACTTTATTTCCTACTTCTCCACCAGTTACTAATCTGTGAGATGATCATTCCTGTTATCTCACAGCTTGATTTCTTTAAGAGCCTTTGAGACCTCCTATGAAATGTTCAAAAAGCTTCTGACACTATCAGCTGGATCACCCTAATCCACATACTTATTGATTCTCTTGGAGAATTGCATTCAACTTGTGAGGTTGATCAGCTTATCCAATTGCCTGGTAATATCTGAACTGTGTAGGGAAAAGCGCTGTGGCTTAAAGATTCAAAGATGCCCTTTTCTTCCCAATGTTTCTATGCTCTTCAATGCATCAAATGCTTGAATTATTTATATATATGAGAGGAAGCACAAGAAAAGATATGCTAGGATTCCCTAGAAAGAATTTATCTCTAGGGTCAAATTTTTCTGGTAATGGCTATGACATGCAGATGTGATAAACATATTAATCCTGTCAAGAAGCAGGAGTAAAGGTCTGCAAGACTAATTTGCTATGGTAGTAGAGACAGAAGGGCAAGATCTGATTCTTGGTCCTAGCAGAGCACTTGTTAAGCCATTAGCATCACACTCAGTATTACTGACTAACGAGGAGAAAATCTCCTTGGAAACTTGATTCACTTGCAACCTGTGTTTAATAACAGGGCATTATAAAGGAGTTAAAGGAGGAGAATGAAAGCCTGGTACAAGAAGTTGAGAAGCTCAAGAAATTTCAGGAGACTTGCATGGTGATTTTAGAAAGCAGAAGCATTGATCCTGGTAAGGACTATGCATTTCACATACCATCCTGGTACTCATTCTTCAGAACTCTTCCCGCCCCATTGTGACTGTTCATAAGACATTTGGACTCTGCTTCCTTGCGAAGGAAATACTGCTGTAACTCCAGGGGATGGGTTTTTTTCTAGCTTAAGAGAAAAAGCTGATTCCTGTAGTATGTCCTGTCCCAGACAAACTTAGAAAATAATTTAGTCTTTCTTGCTGTAGAAATTTACTTTGAAAAGCTGTTAGTTCTTACAAACAAAGCTATCTGTATATTAGAGGTTCACTAATGCACCTCATAAATTAGTTACAGGCAGCAACATTTTGGAGGAGGAAGAAAAGACACAAGAATGCCAGAAGCAGACAATGGTAAGAAAATTTTGAAATAGCGATAGGAGTTAAATGGGCTTTGAGAGGTTTGTGTGCTATTGCCCTTTTCTACTGATGTTGCGGAGACAGCTGCTGAGACTTGCATTTATTTGCATTATATTAAACTGTTTTCCTTTTGGCTCTTCAGCTGTTAACTGGGAAGCTCATAGAAGAATTGAGGCTATTTAACCAAACAGCTGCAAAAGAAAAGGAGGTGCTTCAGGTAAGAGTGTGACTTTGACTCAACCAGGTAATGAGTGCTTGCTGCTGAGTGAGAATTTGAAGGTTATTTTGCTCCTCCCAGTGCTGCTCAATTCTCCAAATGAACTAGACAGCAAAAGTCTGCAGTATTACTCATGTTTTGTTATACATGCATTAAGGAAACTGTATGTGTTGCTCCCCTTCTAAATAGAGGGCTTAAAGCAAAGTTTATGGCAGGGTAATGTTAATTTTCATCTCGGTCATTTCAAGCTGAATTGTATACAATTGAACTTGAAACAAGGTAGAAGGTGAAAGTGATATTAATGACCGATAGCTTTCAAGTTAGACTGAATCAATTCCAAAGTAAAGATGGATGTCAGTACTGGAAATGGAGCTGTCTCTGCTTAGACCAGCTCCTTGCAGGTGAGAGTTTTCAAGACTGTTGCAGGTGGTTGTAAGCACCACTGCCAGAATGCTGATCCACCAGTCTGGCTGTTACACTGGAATTCGGAAGATTTGATCTAACTTGGGAACTGTTGCAGACCGGTGACCTCGGGTGTAGTCTCTCCGGGAACTAAGTAGTATGCAAGCACAAGCAGCATCAATAATATTGTCTATATACTGACCAAAATAGTCATTAAATTACAGTTCTACAATTCTTGGTAAGAAGCTTAAGAGCTAGTCAATGAAACTGCTATTATATCAGACTTCCTAAACTTTGGTCACAGGTAAATTGCCATTTTCCTCAAGGAACAGAGGTACAAGCTATCCCAGTGAAGGTAGACTGATCTTAAGTTTAGCAGGCAAGACCCTGCTGAAGAGTTCAAATGCTTTAGTTGGAGCTGCTTTAGAACTTGGCTTTGCTATTCTGTACTTTAGTGTCAGTAAAATGTCGTGTGCCGTGACTTCTCTACACAGACAGCAATGGCTAAGTGGAAATCAGCGGAAGAAGAGAGACACCGGTCCCTGGAGAAGCATTCCTCCTTTCAAGCAGAAATTAAGGAATGTTCAGCAACGCTCGATGAGTTGGAGCTGCTCCTGGCTATGTGAGGCACAAGGATGGACTGTACTGTCTTTTTTTTTTTTTTTGACATTTTACTCCTAGTTGAGTGCTCTCTGCTTCACAAACCTAGTTGTTAACATTAAAGCAAGGAGCAGGTCCCTGCTCTCTGGTGGGACAGCACCTGCGGGGGGGTGGGAATGGGAAAGCCGGCCCGGCTGCCTGTGCTAGCACTTGTTGCTCTTCCCACATCTGCCGGGGCCTTGCCTGGACCTTTTTGTTACCGCACGCCTTGCTGCTGAGCGGCTCATCCGCCTCGATCGGTCAGCCTGTTGTAACTATTCGTGTTTTTAACCCATTAAACGTACTGGAAGGACGCACAGGACGCTGTTACCTCCCCGAGGCAGCGCTGCTGCCGCCGCCGCCCACCTCCGCCTCCCTCCGCTTTCCGGGCCCCACCGG